TTTGTCAGTTAATGGAGTGACAGAAGCAAGCAGCAGTGGGGCTATTTTTCACCTGAGGTGATTTCACCTTTATTCATCACACAGCCAAAAGACTAAAAACCAGTCAGTCCAAACAGATAGTTTCCTTTCAACTTTTGCCATGTTGCTGTTCCAAGCAACTAAACCCAATGCCAACTACTGAGATATGAAACAGGATAAAATATAACAATCTCTTCCTGTTTTTCATTAAAGTCCTGTGATTAGTTCTTCGAAAATGCTTCTACAGTCTTTGATAAGTACCATTTAATATGTTGTATGTCGATTTTTAATTTTTCTTTAAAAGTCTAGGACAAATTTATTCCAGCTTCTAAGATATAGGATATCATTTAGTCATTTGTGTCTGTAATTATGTATTTTATACCTACTGTCTACATTATTAGGATCTGAACAGAGAAATGATTTATATGAAAAGATAAAGCAAAGCATAGTATCTGACTTCAAGCAGTTTTCAGCATAGAAAACATTGAGAATGGGTACCCATATCACATGAGGCAGAATATGTTCTCTACTAACAGTGCACTGATGCCATTATCAATATGTTTCCACTGATGTCCATTATCGCATTCACATGGATTGAGATTTTTCCTCATACTTTTTATCCTTTAACCTCTAAAGTTTTGTATGTCACAATGGACTTTTTCCCTGTAGGTGCTTTCAGAGTTACTCATGACTATCCCTATGATTCATCCTTTAATTATACCTGCTAGTCAGGCTTTCTCTTTTGCCACATTAACCCAGCTACTTGAGAGACACCAGGAATGGCCTTGCTTTGAGGGAGGTTTACGGTCAGTTTTGAACTGTTGTTTTCATGTATTATTTTTCTTACTGTAATAATTGAACCAGATACATTTTAAGAGAATAGGCTTTCTAAATCAAAGAGTGTTTATACCCGTAAGCTTTTTTTTCCATAGGAAATTTTAATGGATTGAAATATAGCCTCTATAAAAATTTCTACTCTACAATACACGGTCGTGTCAACTGCATGATGAGTTTCACAAACATGATTGGCTGACATACTCTTTGGCATGGTTACTGGCACAAAGAAATGTATCTGCTTGTTTTCTTAATTCTGAAATGGGATGTGTGGGTCTTTATTTTAAAAAGCAAAATAGTGAATTGGGTACAGTAAACTAACATAGATTTATAAACCTGCCTAAAACTTTTTTCTTGACCTAGATCGTGTCTGGCACTTAAGCCTGGTGCTTAATATATTCTCAGTGTTACTGTTATTAATATTATTTTTAATTAGTTTTGTAGACTTAGGCCTCTCAGACTCAGGTATTCTGAGCCTGGGTTCAGGCCTGGGTTCAGTTAAGAGGTGACTAAACAGAAGATGAATGTACCTAGAGAGATTTAACATACTTTTCAGCCTTTCCTATGGTGAGAATGTAGTGACACTGCCACTGCTTGCATTTCCACCTGTGTGTTTTCTTTCCTTAAAGATGCTCCTTGAAAGTAATTTTTGTATCATTTAGTTCAACCCTACATCATGTCTAGAAAAACAATATTGAACCTAAATGAACAAAACACATGATTTAATTTTTTTAACATTTTTTTAATGCGGTAAATACACATAACATGTAATTTACCACTTTATTTTTAAGTGTACAATTCAGCGGCAGTAAGTACACTGTTGTGCAACCAACTCCACCATCCATCTCTAGAACACTTTTATCTTCCCCAACTGAAACTCCGTACCCATTAACAACTTCCCATATCCCCCGATCCCCAGTTCCTGGTAACCACCACTCTACTTCTATCTCTATGAATTTGACTACTCTGGGTACCTCATATAAGTAGAATTATACATTTATCCTTTGTGTCTGACTTATTTCACTTAGATGACTTAATTATTAATAAGAGAAGCAAAGAAGACATAAGAATCAGATTTGTTTTTGAAACCATTTGAACCTACGTAAATTTTAAATCAAGAGAGTTTCTAAGATATTCTTCTGCTAACAGAAAAAGGTAGCTTGGATCAAGGCCATCCATAGCAAGTATTGTTTTTTCCGCTTTATTAAAAGCATTTTTTTGTATTCCATACAATTCTTGTCAGATTGGGCAAGTGTACATGTCATATTACTAGTGACAGTGGCCTAGTGACTTACTAACATTGCCTTTTGCAGCTAAAAAGTAGATCGTGGAGCTCCTCTCAAATGCATGTAATGCTCCTTTTCTCCTTTCCACTGTTGTCATGAAACACAGACAAGTGCTAGATGTAGCCTGTGCTGGAAAGGAAACTTTGCTTTGTCCAGGGGCAAGAAATAGGAGTCTTTCCTAGCAAAAGCACAGGACATAGACCATATTGTGTGAGTATATTGACTCTAAGTGTTTATTGCCCAACAATAGTCTGAAAACTAAGTAGGTAAATGGTTGAGAGATGAGAAGAGGGGACTTGGACTAGGTGGGTAGGTATGAGAGTGAGGAAGAGATGGGCAGTGAGCCTATTAAATAAAGGAAGGAAACATACTGTGTGATTGCATGGTGAGGTAGGAATCCAACATAACTCTAAGATTTGAGCCTATATAACTCAGAAGAATTATCTTTTTAGAATAAATGTAAACAGGCTTAGTTTTCCAAGCTAGGGTTGAGGTATTGTTCGTGTAACTAACAGGTGCTGTCTGGAGGAGAGACGTGCAGCATTAACAGTCAGGGGCTAGGGGTTAGCTTAACAGAAGGGCCATGGAAGCAGCAAGTCAAGTCCACTGACTAAAGGAGCAGCAGTAACTGCAGAGGATAGAATATGTTCCATGCGACAATATGACTTTTAACGTCTCTTCTAAAGCTAAATTTTATTATGATGACGGAATTCTGAAGAAAAGAATGAAGGAAAAGAACAGAATTCTAAGCATGAAACCCTCATCAACTAACTACATTTACCCAGAGAAGAGAGGGAGAGAGAGCTAGAAAAAATGAGAAAGGAAGAGAGGGTTGGGGGGGAGAAGAGAGAATGAATTTATTTAATTTAGGGAATTTTTTTGTTTTGCTTATTTGGTTTTTATTTTGTTTGTTTGGTTTGGTTTTTAGGCATAGATTTCTATTTCCATTTAGTATTGCCCTCTTGTGGCAAACCGTGATGTTTGCTAACTCTGACAGAAAACCATAAAGCAGACCGCAAAAGATCAGGAGACTAAAATATAATGCGTACCTCCATGTGCTGGGTATGATACAAGAGTGCTTATGTATATCTCCTTATCTAAGCTTCTCCACAATCCTGTGAATGTTAAGTATTAAGTACCGTCAGCCCCATTTTCAGGTGGGGAAATTATGATTCAAAGTGCTTAGTTTACATAGCTAGAAGGTACCTAGCTAGAAGGTAGTGGAGTTGAATGTCAATCCAGATCTAACTAGCAAAAAGCCAGGTTTAAAAATATCAAGTGAATTCAACAAATATTTATAGGTATCTATTATATGCCTGTTCCACGGTAGATGCTGAGAATATAAGGGTAAGC